AGTGGGAAAGGGGGAAAGGGAATGGGGGTTTAGGGTTTGAGATGAGTATTTGGGGAATGGGGACGGGTCGGGTTGAGTGAGATTCAGAACTGAATAGGGGTTTTGAAGAGTTCGGTCTGTTCGGGTCGGTTTCAACCCGACCTGAACCGCCTTACTCATAAAACCGAACCGAACTATTAATTTCGATTTGGTTCGGTCGGTTTTTTCAGTTTGGACCGAACCATGCTCAGTCCTACGTACTCTCCACCGGGATCAAGCTAATCGTAGTTCTGCTATTGCCCTTTTGGGCAGATCAACACAGACTGATATTAAGCAAGTCCAAGCAATGCTGAAACTTGCTACATGTGACCACATTGGTTAGCATGTCTACTGGGTTTTCCTTTGTGTGCACATTCATGAGAGAAATATCACCTTCCTCTAGGGGTGTGCAACGGTCGGTTCGGTTCGGTTTTTACCAAAATTTGAACAACCAAACCGAACTGCCTATAATTCAAAACCGAACCGAAATGTTGCAAGTCGGTTCGGTACGGTTCGGTTCGGTTTGTTCGGTTCTAACTTCATCAAATTTCTTATCAAACAACAAACTATGTTAAAGAAAAAAAAGATATCAACAAAGTAGGAGATTATGAAGCATTAAACACTGATATAATGATATTGTTTTCAACCCATAATGATTCAGAAAATGAGTTTAGGGTTTGAGTCTTTGACTCTTTAGGGACGGGTCGAGTAGGGTTTGAGATCAGAATGGGTAGTATTGCACTATATTCGGTCGGTTCGGGTCGGTTCGGGTCGAAAAATTTTCAAACCGACCCGAACCGCCCTACTCATAAAACCGATTTTTCCGGGTCGGTTCGGGTCGGTTCGGTCGGTTTTTTCGGTTTGGACCGAACCATGCTCAGCCCTACCTTCCTCTATGACATCCCGCACAAAATGATACATGACGTCGATATGCTTGGTACGAGCATGATGAACTTGATTCTTAGCCAAATGAACCGTACTCTGCCTATCGCACCACAAGTTCACATTATCCTGCTCAATCCCCAAATCATCTAGAAGACCCCACAACCACAATGCTTCCTTCACTCTTTCAGCCATGACCATGTACTCAGCTTCTGTAGTAGAAAGTATCATTGTAGCCTGTAACATCGATCGTCAATTAACTGAAGCCCCATGTATGTTGAATACATAACCGGTAGTAGATTGTCGTCTATCTAGATCGCCCGCATAATCTGAGTCCACAAACCCATCAATCTGACAGGTATCTTCACCAAAACACAAACCGTATTCGCGGTATCTTTCAAGTACCTCAGAACCCATTTCACCGCTTCCCAGTGCGCCTTTCCCGGATTTGTTATGAATCTGCTAATCACACCAACCACCTGTGAAATATCTGAACGTGTACACACCATGACGTACATCAAACTGCCAACTGTACTAGCATAAGGAACACGTTCCATGTGTGTCTTCTCTTCCGCTGTAGTGGGAGATTGTTTACCCGAGAACCTGAAATGTGGGACCAATGGAGTCACCACTGACTTAGCACTTTGCATCCCAAATCTTACGATCACCCGCTCTATGTAGCCCTTCTGACTCAAGAACAATCGCTGATTCTCTCACTCTCTTCTAATCTCCATACCCAATATTTCTTAGCAACGCTCATGTCCTTCATCTCGAACTCTTTATCAAGTTGAGATTTCAGTCTATCTATCTCCACCCTGCTTTTTGAAGCAATAAGCATGTCATCCACATACAAAAGGAGATAAATATAATCACCTTCACGAAGCTTCCGAATATAGATGCAACAGTCATACTCGCTTCTGGAGAACCCATGCATTAGCATGAAGGAGTCAAATCGCTTGTACCACTGCCGAGGAGATTGTTTCAATCCATAAAGTGATTTCCTCAAGCGACATACATGATTCTCCTTATCCTCAACCTTGTAACCCTCAGGCTGATGCATATAGATTTCCTTCTCCAAGTCTCGATTCAAGAAGGCCGTTTTGACATCGAGTTGTTCCAGCTCAAGATCACCATGAGCAATAATACTCAATAGCACCCGAATAGAAATGTGTTTCACCACCGGAGAAAAGATCTCATTATAATTCACACCCTCTCTTTGTGCAAACCCCTTAGCCACTAGTCTAGCCTTGTACCTTATTCCGCCGAGCTCGGAATGATCTTCCTTTCTTTTATACAGTCACTTACAACCTATAGCTTTCTTTCCTACGGGCAATGTGATCACCTCCCATGTTTGGTTCTTCTGGAGTGATTTCATCTCCTCCTCCATCGCAGCCAACCAACTCTCGCTATCTCTATCCCTAATAGCTTTCTTGAAGGAGACCGGGTCATATTCCTCCACCGATAGTGCGTACTCAACCAAATTAACCTGCCCATAATGCTTCAGGGGTTGATTAGCCCCCAGCTTCTGTACCTGCTTGTATGCTCGCCTTGGCCTAGTGAAAGCCAAGATATCCTCGAGCTGCTGTTGTTGTAGTGCCTGTGTATTCTCATGCTGAACCTCCTCCTGCTCAAGCTCATCATCTACCTGATTTCCCACTTGAACACGACTAGAACCTGGTTGGTCTTTAGGTTCTATCTCAATAACCTGGAACTTAGAATTCCCAATAATCTCAGCACCATCATCCTTGGGCATCCTAGCAATCATGGACTTCTCATCAAAGGTAACGTCTCTGCTGATCACTAACTTTGAATCTTCTGTACACCAAAGGCAATAGCCTTTTACACCATTTGCATATCCCAAGAAAATTTTCTTCTTGGCCCTCGCGTCAAGCTTTCCCTCGTTGACGTGATAGTAGGTGGTACACCCGAAGATTCGGAGTTTCTCATAATTTGCATGCTCCCCTGACCACACCCGATAGGGTGTATCACCATCCAGTGTAGAATGTGAAGATCGATTCACAATATAGCAAGCTGTAGCAATTGACTCTGCCCACCATTCTTTGCCCAAACCAGCATATGATCGCATACTCACTGTTTTCTCTCGCAATGTTCGGTTCAGTCTCTCCGCGATCTCATTTTACTGTGGTATAGATCTAACTATCCAGTGTCTGACAATCCCCTCCTGATCACAGAACTCCTTAAAGGCACCATCTGTATACTCTGTACCGTTGTCAGATCTCAATGTCTTCAATTTCTTTCTTGTCCTGTTCTCAATCATCGCCTTCCACTTCTTAAATGTCTCAAATACCTCATTCTTATGCTTCAGAAAATAAATCCAAGTATACCTCCAATGATCATATGTATACACCCGATTGAGATGTTCATCGAAATATTTTTGGGTCAAGCAGCAAACCTTAAGACTGTCAAAACGAAGGTGTCACACTTTTCTCAAAGCTTGTGATGGGTTTACATATACTGATTCTGGTTCACAAGGTCCTGGGAACTAGTGACAACAATTTTTTGTATTTTTCAGGAAATATAAGGTGTAAATTTTAAGTAGATGAATCTAAACGTCGAATTGTAAGATCAGATTCTGGTTCTTCTGTAATCAGGATGCACCTAATAGTTATATGTATTAAAAATCCGCAATTGCAAATAAAACTGGAATTTGATGGCATGACCCGTATCTGCGTAATCTCAACCGTCAGAGTGCTATAAACAAGATCTGAAATACAAACCGCTAATAAGAATAATTTTTTTCTTTTCTTTTTGATAGAACCACTAAGAATCAAATTAAATGCAAGAATTCATCTTGAGAGATCCAGCAATCAAATCGAACTTGTTGGCAACTTGATCTGAATGCAACGGATATACCTGCAACTTAAAGTAACACAAAACTTCCTACTCAACAATCCCACATGTGGCAGTATGACGCTCCAGTACGAAGTAACCTTCGTGCGCCTCGTTCCATTCTCCTCACTCTTCTCCTCTGAGCTTACCGTTGTTCTGGTGCTCTCAGCAATACTCTATGAGATATATGCGAAGGCAGAAACAATAATTTATCGCTTTGTCAACAATCTCGGATTGGGGTTGGCTGTTTTGGAAGTGGAAAGGAACAGACAGAATCCATAGCATAGGGATCAGTCGAAGTTCAAGAGTGCAGCATAAAACATGTGCCACAAGTTTCTTGCAACACGAATTTAAGAAGAAAACCAACAGGTTGTAGTATCTACTTCAAAGAGACTTTAGATTTCCAAGTGGATTTGGAGCAAGAGAAGGAATATTGAAAGAAGAGGTGACAGAGGAAAGAAGAGCAAGTGGAGATTTAGATGTATACAAACATACAAATATCCATCCCTTTGGTTAAATGAAGTACCGAATCAAACAAACATTTGGTTAAATTCTATTCATTTATAAGCCAAACACTAAAAATTATTTGTTTAGTACTAAATGAACTATTGAATCAAACTTGATCGAATATCTAAACGAATAAAAAAAAAAGAAATAGCACTCAAATACTTCATATCTAAAGCAGAATACTTTATTTTGATAACATGTTTAATATTTGCAGAAAATCTTTTAGAAACCGTGATTTGCACGGGTCTAAATGCTATCTTTAATAATAATAGAATAATATGCAAAGATTGGACCAGTGCTAAAATTTTAATTCAACATACACTTTTGGCACTGCAAAGACTAGCCTTGACTCTTTAATTTCTACAGAATAGTCCATTAATATATAAACACAGGGTAAAAAGAGTGCAAGTGTCTACAACTAATTCAATTACCTCCAACCTAACAACATGCTCTTCTATCTAAGACTTCTACCCCTTTTTGCATATGTTTCCTCCGGTTTGGGAAGGCGAACGGCTAAGGTAAAACTTCCTGATGAAGTCAAGGGAGGAACTACCAACGAATCGTATTACTTTCGCCATATCAACGCATTAAGCAGCAAATATTGGAGGACCAAAGTTCACTCCACATGAGTTCATTACTTGTGATTTTATTAGTTACACGTCCAAATAGTTCTACAGACACAATACATATCAAAGGTTGTTATGTTTATAACGAATTCTATAAACAACCGGTCAGATACAAAATCCATAAAAAATGTACAAACTACAATCTTTTCTTCTTTTTTTTTCCGGCACTATATCAATCAACTCACTTCATTATACTTTATTTTCCGCGATAAACAATCAGATTAGACCAAAAAAATTCACATAATACAATCTAATACAGAGAGTACCTTTTCAGACCCTCTGCTGCGATTCGATGAGCAGCGCATTGAGCATAATCTGCACCGCCGAGTCATAGACTCTCTGATCATAATGCATCCCATCTTCTGTACACATCGCGCCGCACTCTCTACTCAAAAAACCCACATCAATTAGCAAGAATTGGCCTCCATCCCTCTTCAACATCCCACTTTTACCCAACTCGGCGCGATAACTCTCTTGCATTGTTCTATTCATGTTTAATCTCTTCTCCTCGGTGTTCAGCATCGTCTCCACGAGCTCCGGCAACCCTAACCAGAACGCGTGCTCCAAAACCCCAGCCTTGCTAGCTTCCTTCTTGATTTCACTCAATTTCCCGCCACATAATCGGCGGGGTCAGTCACGTGCAGCATGTGCCAGAGCCCCGATCCGGCGACGATCACGTCGGGAGAGCTCGAGGCCGAACCTTCGATCGATCTGATGAAGGACGAGATGTTCGACTCGAACGGAGACCAGACGAAATCGATCTTGATGGATCGATCGTGGATCTGGATCTGGTAGTCGCTGTGCCGTTTGAAGAGGTCAGATCTGACGTCATCGACGGCGGCTGGGTCGAGGAGTAGGGAGAGGAGAGAGAGAGTGAAGAGGCGGCACTGGGAGCTAGCCGTCGACGGGCGGAGGAGCCGTTGTAGAATCTAGGGTATCGACGCGGGGAGATAGCGGTGGAGACCGCACGCGTGGCGGTTGGAGGGTGGAGGGAGGAGAGGCAAGAGAGGGGATTGGGGCGGAACGCGGCGGCTCGAGAGGGGGGAGGGAGGGGAGGTAGGGGGGACACGTGGGACGAACGCGCGATGGGAGATGAAGAGGGGAGGCAGTGAAGAAGAGTCTGTTGCGGCTGAGGTGGACGCCGGACGCGAGGAAATCGGAGAAGGACGGACGCAGGCGCGAGGATACCGAGATGGTCCAGCGCCGGCTTGAGAGCATGGAGGGGCGCGTAGGGTTAAGGGATTGGGGGGCTAACGTGGGGAGTGGCGGTGGTTTATTGAAGTTGGGGGGAGCATGTGGGTTGTGTGAAACCGGGTAGCGAGACGCGAATAGTTTAGCGGGCGGGCGTTGTCTCTGGGCGCAGGTTTCTACTACAGCCACACTGGAGACCGGATGCAGATAGTTAACTTGTGGAGTGGACTATGACTTCTGAGTAGAAATAAATTTAAATTTAATAATGCCTTTTACAAATGTTTTTGAAAGTAAATATTTTACAGTTTGTGTGTAAATAACGTGGGACTAAGCACAATTAACAAATGGATAAATTGTAGATAACCCCTCCCCTTATCCATAATGATTTTTAAGGATGAAGAGTCCTAATCAATTAGCTGAGGAATGATAAGTCTTAATGAAGATATCCAACTATAAATAGAACAAATTTCTTAGACTGATCATAATTCAATTAGTAATCCTTAAAATAAGAGGGGAAATTTTTTTTTTGGTTGAAAGAAGCAAGGGTAATAACAAATCTATGTTGTTAAAAAGATTCTGACTTTCTTTTATCCACGTCATTGTAACTATTAACTACAACTAAGACATAAGAAAATATTCTTATTTTGTTATTAAAAAGATTCAACTTCCAAACAATTTACTACAACACCAGTCTCCCAAAAGGACATGAAGTTCAATCAAAACAATAAATCCACAGGTTCAGTATCTGCAAAACTCCCAAGTACATTTTGTTGCTCATAAATCTTACACGCTTACATGAATACTTTGCATAATGTAAATGCGTGTTGCTGAATAGTTCGTTTGTTTCTCAGGGTATTTGGAAACCTAGGGTAACTCAACTACAAAAAATTATCGGATACGTAGTCCCTTGACATTAGCAGATTGCCAACGTGCTGTTAAGGATATCAACATAGAGACAGTGAATTCGATCCTCTCTACTGCCAAAAACAGTGACGAGGCTCGCTCTAACCGCAACTTTGATAGTCTCCCGTAATTTGCAACCTTGTACCTCTTTCCAGTTTCACTCAAGACAGATCATAATTGTCCAATTTATAACAGTTGATTGCGACTAAAAGCAGTGATTTCCCCGCTACTTTTGGTAGTCAAAAGTGATAGTCTCCTGTGATTTGCAATCTTGCACTTCTTTCCAAGTTCACTCAAGACAGATCATAATTTTCCAATAGTAACAGATGATTGTGATTAAAAGTAGTGCTCCCCCTTACTTTTGATAGTCGATAGTCGAGAGGATCCAAATCCCATATATACATTCTTCAGTTTTGGTGTGGTGACGAGCAGAGTTTTCTCAGTGTCACTGATGTCCTCCTCTGTTGATCGATTTCCTTCCCTTCCCAAATTTGAAATCCAGGCTTCCGATTTATCTCGTGCTTCCAAAGATACCGAGCTTCACCAGACATGAGGATTAGAGAGCCCGGGTTCAAGAGCACGGGAATCCTTGTGTATGAACCCTCTCCTGCATCTTCTTCTTGGTTTCCAGCAGGGTTGAGTACGTGTTTGGAGTGAGAAAAATGCATCACACATGTAGATTCCATGGAGATTATTGCAATTCCGTCCTCAAAACGCATCAAATCCACATGTGCACATATCCCCTAATAAAGATGGGAAAGGAATGTGAAAAAGGGTAGGTAGTATTTTCTATGAGAAGATGGTATAAATATAAACAATTGACCAGTTATGTTCTATGGACAACTCATTTAACTGTGAATAAGTTCGAAGGATTGGAATTAAACTGGCTGCCGGTAATGAAAATTTTCTGTGAAATCATTCAGTAAACCTATGGTAGCCTGAATATAGACCTCTGTTCCTGGCCAGCCCAGTTTGAGAGGAAACTCCGAAACTGAACTGCTCTTGTGATTCAAAAACCGTGAAAGAAAACTGAAAACGACAGGAAATTAACAGGTCATAATAATGTGCAAGTTATGCAAACATCAGCATAATATCAGAAACTAATTATGAGACAAACTGATACCCAAAGTTAAGGAATGAGCTTAAACATACACATAGCAACCACTTATTTGTTTTATGCATCATATAACAAGGCCTCCCTTGGACGTTGAAGAAAAACAGTTGGTTAATAACTGACATAACAAATAAAACACATTTCACAAGATTTTGTTCGCATAGCTGTTTGAAATGACTTGGAAGTGTGAAATTTCAGTGGTTAACTCTTTTGAAGAATTAAGTAAACATCAAATGTGTTAATCACACACCTAATGTATTAATTAAACATACCTCACCTGGTTTGTATACATTTACAATAAGCTGGTCAAACAGCGGTTCCCTCCACAAGAGATCAAAAGGCAAGGGACAAGGTTCTTCCATACATTGATCTTCAACAACCAAATCCTTGTCTCCTTTCAATGATGATTCACCAAAACACACGGCTTTGCGAACTAATCTAGCCAGTTCAGTTGCCCATTCTGGAAGATCCCCAAATCTCATAGCCTGATAAGTAAAAAATTTCAAACAATGATGGTAAGTCCATAAATAAAAAAGAACAGCAAACACAAACAATCAGCACCTATGATGTCTAAATTGCCATTGATGGGGGAGAAATTTTGATAAATATGAGGTCTCCTTAAGATATTTCAAGGTAGTGAGCGGCAAGTATGGTTAATGGAGAACCTATAACATATAACTAAAGATACAGATGCCTTAGAAAAGTGGAACCATGACAGATCAATATGCTTAAAAAGTTTTCTGAGTACTTGAATAACATTGGGAAGGAAAAAAACTTATATCACTGCTTAGTCCCTTAATTCTGTATTTGGAAATTAGTCCCTCAAATTGCTCCTTCTAGTGATTTCAAACTAGTCCATCTGTTGGTTGTACCAACTAAATTGCTTATTCGGTTTGAGTTAGTCAGTTGTTAATTACACATGATGAACTGGTTCGGGGGAGACATAACCATTGGGAAGAAAGGTCAATTGGTTTGAAGTAGCTTATAAATAGAGGGGTGTAACTGGAAATCCATGAAAAGTAAGCTAACAGAAATGTTTCTCCCAAATCAAAATGGTACCTAACTGCAAGATAAAGTTGAAATGACTAATAGGATTTGAGGACCTAAATAACAATTTTAATGTTTTGAATGACTAGTTCCAAAATATTAAAGTTTTAAAAGACCAATATTGAAAAAACCCGTCAAATATAATAAAGGATCTTGTGGTTGAATTTTCCACAATAATGGAAACAGCATGGGCAGAACCAAAGGCTCCAACCAAGAGAAGTAAGAAACGGCATCAATAAGTAATTTTATTTGATGTCAAACAACACCAAATAAAAAAGCACCACTAAAATAACCTTCAACTGGCAAAGGCTGTTAGAATGAACCAAATAGGCAGAAGAGGATGCACAAATGTTCACACAGATAAATGGAATTTAATTAAGTACAAAAGGAAAAAACTTAAAGCAAGATGACTCTCTTCATCCCTCAAGTATTCTATAGATTTACACAAGAGTGATTAGCAGGTTGACAGTCGACTACAAATGAGGATCGATTAAATGTTTGCTAAGATTCAAGTGAACAAGTTTTCAGATTAAAAGAAAAGAAGATTTTATGCAGTTGTATGAAGTATAAAGAAAAGTTCATCAACAATTTAAAAGGAAACGAAGAAATATTAGAGAGGCACCTGATTATGAAAACTTCCACTGAACCATCGTTCTGCACCAAGAAAAGAAAAAGAAAAAAAAAGTGAAATCTAACAACTCCTCACAAGTCCCAGAATAGACTGAGTCGAAGTTAAACACAAAATCTAGACCATTCTCACCCAATAAACACACACACACACACACACAGAAAGTAGACTGGCAGATAAAGATAGGAGCATATTTTATAATTAAATCTTGAGAGCAAGCTATCACTGTTTAGTTCATTGTAACCGACTCATTAATGCCCTTCCGAAGTCAGCTCACTCCAGAGTCTGCCCTCGACATTTATTGAGCCAGTGAAACTGCTGCAATGGGACTTCGTCAAGAAATAGGGCGACATACTTGATGTGATGTTGTCAGACCATGGTCGATGAGGTTATTAAGCCCAACAACCCACGTATGAATACACGGATCAGCCGACAATCATAGGTGGTTCCTTAACAATCTTCTGTAGCAAAACATGGACCAGAAGTTGGCTAGAGCAACAATTGTAGAGCAATTGTGAACATGAGTGGAGAGAGAAATTTAATATAACAATACTTTTTTATAATGCATGAAAGCTTATTTGATTCCTCGTGAATTAAGTTTACTGTTATTCTATCCCTCCTTGTTCTTCCTCATCTCCTCTCTTCCTCTTCCCTTTTTTCCTAATATTTTCCCATTAGTTGATGGGTGGGCATATGGTCGGCAGAAGTTAGGCATTTCAAAAATTCTAGAAACCTTATAGGTCGACTCCAAAGACTCAGGCTCCTCCAACATTCCATCAAATCTTGTCTCCTATTTAAGCACACTAATAAAACAACTTACCAAAAACTCAACAAAATTAGACAATTTTCAATTTGTGTGTGATACTATTAGAGTGGTCTAACTTGTTGTATACTTGGACAAGGCCCCCAGGTAATTAAAATTTTCAGAGGTACCAAACCGATTGAGCAATGACTTTTTGACCTCAAGCCACTCCAGAGTCCGCCGATGACATTTCTTGAGCCATGCAAATCACTGTAAGAAGGCTTCATCAAGGAACAGAGCAGCATGCTTAGAGGTTTTGCTCGTTTGGCATGTCGTAGAAGTCCAAGAGTTGGCACTACACAATAAAACCAACGATGAACATTTTCTCCAGTGAACAAGGGGAAAATGGGTTGACATTTCAGAGGAGGACTAGCATCTGTGGTCATCATGAAAGATTTGTTGGGGATTGAGTTGAGGACAGGGATGGAGTTGGGTGTAGTGGACATTGTTGGTTGTTACAGCAATGAAGTCCACAAAACTTGTGCCATTGCTAATAGTGATTGAGTTCCTAGCACAGATACATGCACTTCTCGCTCCTCTTTAGAGTCATCTTCCTGCCAAACTATCAATCTGGTTGAGATCCCAGTCATCAATTGCTAGAGCGATCGATCCTCTCGGATCACCTTCCAGACCAGTTCTTGCTGCCCAATGGTGGTTTTAAGTCGCCCACTTTTCTATGGCTGAGATTCAGGGGCAAATCTATATGAAGCAAAGTGGTATCACTGTATCACATAACACAGTTGGCTCCACAATCCTACTTAGAAACTCGACCCATCTCATGTGACACTACGGATGTATTCGATGGTGATACTAATGGTGCATTCATGTACTTTTTTGGAAACTCACCAAGGACCATTGTAAAATTTTAATTATTAGTTATATAGGGACACCAAATTCTTGAAATCCTGAATTCATCAATAGCTGGATTCAACAACATCTGTATCCTCATCGGTGTCTGGCTTTGATACCAAACGTCAGTCGCATTCACCCGGCCTCTGCCTCCACCATGCCCACCCATAACATGATGAGAAAATATTAGATGAAAGAGGGAAGAATTAACATAGAAAGAAGAGATGAGGAAGAACAGAGAGGGAGTTAACTTCATTCGAAAGGAACCAAATGAGTTTTTCCAACTTATAAGAGAAATATTATTACATCGAATTTCCTTTTCTATCATGTTCAATATTACTCCATGATTGCTACTCTAACCAACTTCTTGCCCATGCTCTACACAGAAGATTATTACGGAACAATCTCTGATTGTTGGTTTGTATGTGGATCAATCTGTGGGATGCTAGACTTCAACAATCTCCTGGGCCATGACCTAACTATATGCCTCAAAAAACCGTAATTTCTCCATGTCTTCACAGACCCAAACCACACATCTTCATTAACTGTGTGTTTGGGAGATGACTTGGGGAAGGGAAGGAAGGGGAAGGAATCCCCTTTCTTATTTTCCCCTCGTCCCCCTCCTCTACCCTCCTAAATGGAACTCCCAAACAAAGTTAAAATTAGATTTCTCTTCCCCTTCCACTCTCTACCCTCCATCCAAACAGACCATTATAACTCTCCCCAATTTCTCGAGCATTAGTAAATATTTTTGTCTATTTGCTTACTTTATCCAGTTAGATTACAGCCCAAATCGATTTGGTTTATTGGGCACGACCCAAAAGGGGAAAAAAACTTAACTTTGCTTCCATTAACATATAATTCCTTACCTCCGTCGACTGCAGAGAGAAGCGCAGACTGCTGGGCTTCTGAGAGGAAATCACGACAGATCCAAAGACCAGCGATCTCTTGGACCGATTCCCATCTGGCTCTTTTGTTCTCCAGCGCCTGAGGTTGTGTTGGATCAGGATTAGATCAAAACAATGGAAGAGGGATAACTAATATATATATATATATATAGAGAGAGAGGGATGAGAGAAGGAAACAAGGAAAGGGAACAAACCGAGACGAGGGCATCGCCGTCATTTGCTTCCTCTTCATCGCTGGATTCGCCGAAGGCTTGATCCAGCGCTCTTCTTCGAGCGGCGTCGCTGCTATCCATCGCTCTTTCGCTCCTCCCACTATCTCTCTCTGGTTTTTCTTCGAGTAACGAGTGGAAAGAATTTGAGACCCATTGTCATTGGCCTGTTTGGTTGGATTCTAGAATAGGAAAATGCAATTTCACGTAAAGAAACTTAAGTTTTGATTTGAGTTTTCTAAACTTTTTCAAGAAATAAATTATTTTGATTTTGTTCGCACATAAAATATGGTAGGAATGTAATGTATTTATTTTTCTTGTGTTTGACTTACATAAAAAAAAGATAAACTTTTGTTGATTTGATATTTTCCACTTTTCTTGTGTTTGGTTGGTGTTAAAGTGAGTAGGGAAAAGTGTTTATGGTCACCATGGTAAGATTACCCCCACTATACAAATTAGAACTAATGAGGCATAAATTAGAACACACATGACATATATTAGAAATCACAATGCATAAATTAGAACTAACATGGTACAAATTAGAACTAACATGGTACAAATTAGAACTAACGAGGCATAAATTAGAACTCACATAACATATATTAGAACTAACATGAGCCGCGATAGAACTAATTTGGTATAAATTAAAACTAACATGGTATAAATTAGAACTAACTTGGTACAAATTAGAACTAACTTGGTATAAATTAGAACTCACTTGGTACAAATTAGAACTAACATGGTACAAATTAGAACTCATTTGATACAAATTAGAACTCACTTTGTACAAATTAGAACTAACTTAATACAAATTAGAACTCACATGGTATAAATTAGAACTAATATGGTATAAATTAGAACTAACTTGATACAAATTAGGACTCACATGGTACAAATTAGAACTAATATGATACTAATTAGAACTCACATGGTACAAATTAGAATTAACATGGTATAAATTAGAACTAACATTGTACAAATTAGAACTCACATGGTATAAATTAGAACTCACATGTTACAAATTAGAACTAACTTGGTATAAATTAGAATTAACTTGGTACAAATTAAAACTAACTTTGTATGAATTGGAACTAACTTGGTATAAATTAGAACTAACTTGGTACAAATTAGAACACATATGGTACAAATTAGAACTAACTTGATATAAATTAGAACTAACATGGTATAAATTAGAACTACTTGGTATAAATTAGAACTAATATGGTATAAATTAGAACTAACTTGTACAAATTAGAACTAACATGATACAAATTAGAACTAACTTGGTATAAATTAGAACTAACATGGTATAAATTAGAACTAACTTGGTATAAATTAGAACTAACTTAGTACAAATTAGAACTAACGAGGCGTAATTTAGAACGCACATGGCATATATTAGAACTAACATGAGCCGCGATAGAACTAACATGGTATAAATTAGGTCTAACATGGTATAAATTAGAACTCGCGTGACATAAATTAGAACTCACATGACATAAATTAGAACTAACATGAGCTGCGTTAGAACTAACATGACATAAATTAGAACAAACATGGTACAAATTAGAACTCACGAGGCATACATTAGAACTCACATGACATATATTAAAACTAACATGAGCCGTAATAGAACTAACATGGTACAAATTAGAACTCACGATACATAAATTAGAACTAACATGGTATAAATTAGAACTAACGAGCCATAAACCATGCACACAATTGAAATTTGCATACACATGAAACAATCATGCAACGACGTCGGCAAAGATTAGATCTGAACAGCGTTGGCAAAGATCAGACCCTCCTCCCCCAGATTTCTTCGAATACAGGGACAAAGAAGGCCGCGGGAGTTTCTGGCGGGAGGAGAGCAAGGAGGTAACGATAGCTCACTAAAGAAATCAACGAGGAAGAAAAATTCCGACATGGCCAGAGTTTTCTTCGATTTTACTCGGTTGGAGAAGGAAATCAGAGAGGAAAAAAATCCGAGCTGGCGGCGATTTCAACAGAGTTTTCCCTCTTCCACCCGGCCGAACCAAAGCGGCACAAAGAAATGAGCGGAAATAAAAAACCAACGTGGAGGGGGTGTCAGGCGTAGAAAAATGTTTCCACGAGCATTTTAAGCGAACCAAATAACCCCTTAGTCCATAAAAGGGTAGTAAAGTAATTTCACTTCTTGAGGCTGTACGTTGCAAAAGTTTTTATTCAAAAATTGAACTCAGAATTCAGAAATAAGTGATTATAATATATGCCACCTCCTCCATTTTCTTCTCCTCCAATCCCCAACTTTCTTTCCTCTCTCCCACTTCTCCATACTTTCTTATTTTCATTCTTACCTTCTCCTTTCCACCATTCCTCGCTCTGCCCACCCCTCTTCATCATTAAAAAAATAAAATAAAATCCAACTTCCCCTTCTTCCTCTCTTAGACCCAACAACAAGCATTCTATAAAATACCTAGCCTTCTCCTCTTCGTCTCTCCCACTCACTCTCTCACTCTCCTCCATTGCTCTACCTACTTTCTCTTCGCCCTCCAATCATAAAAAACTCAATCTCCTCCTCTTTCTTTCTCAGACTCAGCATCAAAAACATTCTACTTGAAAAGCAATAGAAGGGATGAAGGAGAGGACAAAGAGATAGAAAGAAGGAGAAAATGGACAAAGAATAGAGAGAAGCAAAAGAAGTTAAGAAGAAATGGGTCTGTAGAAAAAGTAAAATGTGAAAGTAATAAGGAGGATATGAGAAAGAAGATAGAAAGAGAGTGGGAGAGAGGATGACAGGTTGAGGATCGGGATGAGAAAAGAATGAAGGAGATGGTGGGAAGGAGGAGAAAAGAGATGGTGAGACGGGGGAGAGAGAGAGTTTTTTTTAAAGACATATTTTAGCTTTTGAGGAGATAGATCCAAAAATCAGTTAAATTTTCGCTTAAAAATTATCTCCGAAAATACCTATTTATCATGATATTTGTCACTTTTTAGACTAAGCTTATATTTTAACCCCTTAAAAAATTATCTAAATTTTAATTCCACTGGACTAACATCATAAAATTTTAATCAGGTTCTCGCTCTAAATTTAAGTTCCGATTGACCAAGCCTCTTAAGAAAAAAAAACTTACGTAAATAAAAGCAGTTCAGAATATTGCATCTCTCATCTGAACCCCTTTCAGAAAATCTCATCTCCCACTTTTCGGACAAATTTTCAAAACCATCCCATTTGCGATTTTATTCCCAAAAAACGACCCCTTTCCTCTTTATTTGTAAAAACCGACCTGGTTTCAGCCTCAGCGCTGAAAACAGGTCGGTTTTTACAAAAAAAGTTCTGAAACTTCACGGGAGTTCAACTCCCGTGAAGTTTAGCAGCTTAATTAAATAGCTGCTAAACTTCACGGGAGTTGAACTCCCGTGAAGTTTCTTAGTTTCAAAAAAAAATTGAGCTGTGAAACTTCACGGGAAGTTTAACAGCTTAATTAAATGATTGCTAAACTTCACGGGAGTTCAACTCCCGTGAAGTTTCGAAACTTTTTTTGTAAAAAACCCTGGTTTCAGCCTCAGCGCTGAAACCAGGTCGGTTTTTACAAAAAAAGTTCTGAAACTTCACGGGAGTTCAACTCCCGTGAAGTTTAGCAGCTTAATTAAATAGCTGCTAAACTTCACGGGAGTTGAACTCCCGTGAAGTTTCTTAGTTTCAAAAAAAAATTGAGCTGTGAAACTTCACGGGAAGTTTAACAGCTTAATTAAATGATTGCTAAACTTCACGGGAGTTCAACTCCCGTGAAGTTTCGAAATTTTTTTGATAAAAACCGACCTGGTTTCAGCCTTGAGGCTGAAACCAGATCGGTTTTTACAAATAAGGGGGAAATGGGTCGTTTTTTGGGAATAAAATCGCAAAAGGGCCTGTTTTGAATTTTTGTCCCCCACTTTTCATCACAGTTTATCTCTCCCTAACTGAACGGTTCAAAATCTTTTCTTTTCCCCTCGAAATCATCAGGGGGGAAAAAAGTAAATAAAAAGACGAGAGGGCAAACGACCCCGAACACTCCTCACGTTGGCGGCTGCAGCTTCTCTTCCCCCCTCTTAAACCCTTACCCCAAACCCTAACCTAAAACCCTAACCCTAACCGTAATTCTCCATTCCCCTACACCGATCGAAGGAGATAGAAGGAGGAGAGCGCGAGAGGAACAATGGAGGTCGCTCCAAAGTGCCAAGAGTTCCCATCCCTCTCCGTCTCCGATCTCTCGTCCTCTCCTTCGATCCCCTCGCCTTCAACTCTCGCCGGAGTCTTCGATTTCGACGAATCCGGTGCTCCGCAGCTGAGGTTTCGCGGATCGGGCGGCCAGGGTTCTTCCGTTCGCATTGGACTCAAGACATCGCAGGTTGATTGCGGATTGTGGATGATCTCGTTTTGTTTCTCCTGTGAAAGGATTGGTTTTGATTTGGTCTTTTTTTCACCAGGTTTTTAAACTGAGTTCCCTGGAATCGCTGTGCGTGAGCAAGGGGCCTGAGGGCAATGAATCAAAGGAGGTAGTTTGGTTGCTGAACATTATAACTGTTTGGAGAGCTAATCATGCTGGATTTTCTAAATTTGTCCTCTTTAACTATTTTTCTCAAAACCAGAAATCCTTTTCGAGAGCTGTTAAGATTGGGTTTGAAACCGAGGAGGAGAGTATAGCGTTCCATTCAGCATTTAATCATTGGAGGGAAAGAATGGGTGAAGATACGGGTACGTGATGTATATGCAGATACTGTCCGCAAATTATCTGTCTAATTATTCTGAGTAATCATGATTGTATCTTTATTCCTTTCATGTTATTTGTAAGGTTTTTCCCCTTTCTTGGGAACCACCTTTAAAATACGGTCATTCTCTAGAAACCAACTTTGAATTTTAGTTAACACATGTTAATGTTAAGTGATCACACAATCAATTATATCCGTGGTTGGATGGAGATAAAATTGATGAGTGGCCGCTTCCTTCCCTGAATATCTGGTTCTGAGTGCCTGAAAAGTCTGCACATATAGAAACTCGTGAGAGGACGGAGACGGGTTCCCTCGTGGTTCTTCCGACGATCAAGTCAGCTGGTGAACTTGAGTGGGGAAAGTGAAGAGCTGTTTTAGTTTTTGTGTATGTAGTATAATTTGCAGAAGAAGCAAAAGTCCAAAAATCAAAAGTCAAAAGTCCTCTTTAGATTAGAATAGTACCTTTATTTATACCGATGATATAAGGGTAGAACCGTCATTATGGCCGAGCATAGGATGGCGGTGAAGAAGTGTGAGCTGGCGGCTGCGTCAGTACTTACTTTACAGGTGTCGGCTGACGACTGGGGAGAGATCATTTCAGCATTAAACGAGAAGTGATCGGAAGCATGACAGTGCCTACGTGGTCTGATGAGTCATGAAGGCTATCGTGGCTAGAGGTATGATGCGTCTGCCATGCATTAAATGTGATGCTGACACGTTGTCAGTGGGAGAGGCTCGAAGTTGAAGTCGTCTTTTGGCTTCGCCGAGAAGTAACGTCTTTCGAGTCGACCTTGTGAGGCGTCGAGTATCTGGACGTGTGGGCTCGTTGCGAGTCGTTTTCGACAAGAAGGTCGACTAGTACCGCCTTTCGAGTCAACATGAAGGAGTGTCGACTCGACGAGTCGGCTAAGTTGAAACTCTTGTTGGTCTTTTGCTGTTAATTTGATTGGGACATTACATTCAGAAGTACACCTGTCTGTTGCTGCCAAAGGGCTGCACTTAGGTGATTGAAAACACCATAACAACACATAAACCACCTTTAAAGAGAAATTTCATGCAATCAAGCACTCCTAGTCAAATTTGCACTAAAAACCCAAAAATACCCTTAAAAAAACTTACGCTCAATTGCTAACATGACCTAAATGTTAATTATTTGAGTCATGTGTCCCGAATGTGAGTTTTTAAGGGTATGTTGTGGTTTTGTTGAAACATTTGAATAAAACGTGGTTGATTCCACTGAATTTTTCTTTGCAGATGGGTTATTTTTATTAATTAAACTTCAAAGATGGTTTCTATAGAATGACCCTATTTTAAAGATGGTTTCTAGGATCCTATTTGTAATGTTATTGATGCAAGTAATTTTCACTTCAGAGTAAATAATTTATGTACAATGTTGGGATATATATACTAAGTTTCATTTGAAACTGATAGGTGAGAAATAACTAAATGTAGCTTAGATATTGTGCATACAGATTCAAATAGAAGTCAAAATTCTTGAAGGATAATCAGAAGATGAAGATGGTAGAGGCGAGGTTATAAATTGTAAAAAACAAACAGAATGAAACATGTGGGGAATGCATGGCAGAGTTAGTGCCCTGTTATTTGCTTCAAATGGAGCATAACCGTTATTGATCAAAAATTAAGAAATATACAAGCCGCATTGACAAATATGAATGATCCACGTTGAGCCTATTAGTCTCTTTACTGTTGTGAGCTTGATTGAGCTTGAGATGATTTAGCTCAAGAAATTTTAACTTTTCTAGTATTTCATGATTGATTCAGTGATCATGCAAGTAGTGACTATTTTTTTTGGGTATCCAATAGGTATAACTACATTAATGTTCAAATTTTCGACAAAGATCTATTCATAGAGAGAGCAAGGGGAGGGGAAAAAACAATCATTTGGATTGTCTATTTTATATTGACAACTGACTACCAGTGAATGATGCAAGTGGAAACTCTTACCAGCCAATATAAAGGTGTATATACATACAAGCAGACATGTTGAACTTTGAATGGAAAAGTGGACAAGACAAAATGGGGGAGAAAATAACCAACAAGACTGGGATCATGATTTGGTCTTTGAGAGCCAGCTGGAAGCCATCGTCTTAGTTGGGCTCAGTGGCCTTGGTGGATATGTTAACTAGTGAAGCGAGGCAGACAAAAGTGAAAGATTAAAATGAGAATGTAAACCAGCACATGACTCGAACCATTCTAGTATAAATTATTTATATTATTTCTACTATAACTATATACTAAGTATATCAAATTGACCATGAGCGAGCGAGCCTGACTTGAGTTCAGCTTGCTTAAGGTTCTACTTAGCTTTAACTTCAGCTCATTTGTTGGTCAAGCAAGCCAAACAAAACTGATTGTGAGCAGCTTATTCATTTGCACCTCCAATGCTGGCTAGTTCCCTCAAAGGCCTGAATCTGTGAAGCTGTCTTCTAAAGCTCTTCGATTTTGAGTCTCTTGAAATGTCTTAAATGAATTTTTTGATATTCTACTCAAGAAGCTGCAATAACTGTAGAATCACATAATTATGTTCTTCCTTCACCAATCTATTCCTGAAGTCTTATCTTTTCCAGTTACATATTACTTTTTGATATACTTTTGGTATTTACAGAAATTCTATATTGTGAGTTCACCCTTGCTTTTTCCAGGAAGACCTCTGGAAAATGGATCAGTTCTTGCTCCAAAATGCAAGTTTGATGACAAAATAGAGGCCTCTTCTGCAAAAATGTACTTCCATTACTATGGACAATTACTACATCAGCAGAATATGTTACAGGATTATGTGAGGACAGGTTACTATTGCACTCTCTTATTACTATGTCATGTTACACATATGAAGCCGAATTTGTTGCTTATTAAATTAAAACTGTTAATTTAATGGAACTTAATAAGATTGTATTTCATTATTGACATGTCAATGTGTTTTTGTTCTAGGAAGCTATTATGCTGCAGTCATTGAGAATCGTGTAGATTTTAATGGTCGTGTTGTAGTTGATGTGGGTGCTGGTAGTGGTATTCTTTCCTTATTTGCTGCCCAGGTATTCAGAATTTTCTGGTCAACAAATTTAAGTAATTAAGCAACAATTTTATTATGTTCTTTGTCATTTTACATGTTACCGTTGCTTTAATTTTAGGCTGGTGCCAAGCATGTTTATGCTGTTGAAGCATCAGATATGGCAGAATATGCACGCCGGCTGATTGCCGGAAATCCGTCTCTTGGACAGAGGATCACGGTTTGATAAGATTTATATTTGCCAGTCTGACATTTGTTTTTCATTCGACTTGTTACCATCTTATATGTGTGCTTATTTATCCAGCTTTTTCTTGGCTTTGTTTGACAGGTTATCAAAGGTAAAGTTGAGGAAGCTGAATTACCTGAGAAAGCAGATATTCTGATTTCTGAGCCAATGGGTATGTATTCATATCAAATTTTCTTTCCACCCAATTAATGGAGGGCTTATTCTGGGATTTGTAGGGCATCTTGAGCGATTCTTAACTTGGCACTCTCTCTAAAGTGAATCATTTCTTTATCAATGTTTGACTTCTGGCTCAAAAAATAAGATTATCAACATATACAAACAATTCAAGCTGATTTGAATGTTGTGATACTGTTTCTCAATTGAAAAATAAAGATTATCCACTATTCTTCCTGATCCCATTTCATTGTGTTTTAAGTGTTGTCATGCTGATTTCAACTGGGAAATCTAGAAGCAACAATCAAATTGTTCTGTCTATACTTATTAATATTTGATCCAACACTGCGAAGTTCTGCGAGCAAATCCGTTCACATGATAGACGAACTGGTTCTGGCATTTTCTTATATGTAATTTCAGTTGTTCCTTGCTTTGGTAACCGGAATAACTTGAGTAGTTTCTGAAATATGATTAAGGATTTGGGAGTTCTAGTTTTTTTCTTAAGTATCTAGTTCTTTCCCTCCTTTCCCCTTGCAAACTGTACAAGCTGTATTAGTTTATGCACTGACCTTTTATACACAATTATAAGGTTTGTATCATGATTTTTTTTCTTGTGACTACTTGCTAGCATATTCAGTATATATGAAAAAGAATGATATTGGAATCTTTTCTAGGTACTCTTTTGGTTAATGAGAGGATGCTGGAGTCCTACGTGATCGCAAGAGATCGGTTTCTTGCCCCTAATGGGAAAATGTTCCCAACACTTGGAAGGTAAGAAGAACAGTTTTCATTCTGTTTCTGGGATGGTTGAAGCAACCATGCTACATTTGTTTCTATAATGGCAATGGTAGGATATTTTGTTCTATAGACATGACAATCCTACTTGTCTAAAATCCAGCATTATAATTCTTTTATGCTTCAAAGGGAACCTATACTTGACTCTATAATTGTTGAACATGAAACCTGTTGCAATAAATAATACCAATATGCCCTCATGAATTTAGTTTTCTGTTTCCTTTCTTTTTCTCCCAATAGTTTTCAAGACTTCAGTATAGACACCTATTCATCTTGTGTGAAATTGCATTGTCTGCAGATATAGCTACCACTACCATCCAGCCATTTCCAAGTCCAATGGCTTAGTTAGCATCCATCAGAGGGCTTCCATTGCCAGTCCTTATTATCACTATGCATGACTGCAAGCTTAGATTTGAGAGTGCTATTCTAGGATTTAGCCAACCTGACTCAACACTCTGATAGTTGATGCCTTCAGGCATGTGTCTCAGTGCAAAAGCTAGTACTAGTTCAATATCTTAATTGTTATATCACTTCGACATTTGTTTTTCATGAATCCCTTATTCCTAAACCTTGTGCTGCTTTTTTTCTTGTGCTTGTGCTCATGATAATATTGACCTAACTTTGGTTTTGATATTGCTGGGCTATAGGTTTAAACTGCTTTATCAGGCATATGTTTTGGTTCAGTTCACTTTACTCGTTGACTTAGGAGAGCGTAACTTTTTCTTTTTTGGGTTCTACCTATCTTACTATTGTTTGCCACTAGTGCACATATGCAGCACTGGTCTAGCTAATACAAGGACTGATGTAATCACCATTATATAAATCACTTACCCTTGGTTTCCTAGAAAGCTGTTATAATTCTGATCTATCTTACTATTGTTTTCCTGTAATGCACACATGCTGCACTCGTCTAGCTAATACATATAAGGAGCTGATGTCATCACCATTATATAAATCCTTTACCATTGGTTCTCCAATAACCTGTTATAGTTCTGATATCGTAACCACCTAGATGGTCGTTTATTGTCCACTGATACCTTTCTGAATACTTACATGCAATGATAATATTCCAATATTTGAGAACACTGTTTTAAAAAAACCTCCGCCTAGTTCGCTTAGGCGTACGCCTAGGCTTAGGCGGTACGTAGACCGTCTAACTAGCGCCTAGGCGGTATTTAGGCTACCCACCTAGATTTTACGAGCGTTTAAGGGAGCATTGTCTGCTTACGTGGATTGCACCCTGTAGGCCTTGATTGTGATTTTATGTGTCGTAGCCTACACGTCTTCCAAACTCCATTAACCTCCAAAATCCAAATATGAACACCTTCACTACTTCCTCTGACCTTCAGCAAAACCTCATCGACCACCACTTAAATGAAGAAAGGAAAAAAACGTCCAGAAACCGCTTAGGCGCCCGCTTAGTCAACTAAGCGCTGGGCGTCAAGTTCGACGCCTAGAAGCGCCCAACGTTTAATGTAACATTGTTTGAGAAGATGAAAATCTTGATGTCCCTAGAGACATTCAATTTGCGTGTTAACATGGTGACTGAACTTTTTGGCATAAATCTAGCTTCGTTCTTTTTTTAATGTCATTTATATATTAACCATGATGATTATCTTCAGGTTCTGATTGTCTTTATGATAAACCATATCACTATGCTTCTATAATTTCCACTGTAGCTTCTATAGCTACTCCTTACTGGCAATTTGTTATTTTGCTAATCTTGTAGGATACATATGGCTCCCTTTAGCGATGAATATCTTTATGTTGAAATTGCAAATAAGGTATCTCTTTGAAATAAAATTTGCTTTTCTTGAATAACATGTTTTGCATTTTCTTTTCCCTAGTTGCAAGACATTTGATGAGATCTAAGATATTTGCACTTATTATTCCATTTACTGAAGTCCTCCTTTCATATTTTATTAAACTGTTCAGGGTAGTCAATTACCTGCCTCATGATGTGAAGTCGTCGTTCATCAGGAACCTACATATGTCTTTACACGAACTTATTATTAGATTCAGGACAGGACATTAAGACAAATGCATCTTTCAGGTGCGCAAGTGAATGTCTTTTTACGGAGGATGAAATTATAGTTGCATTAAAATTTCCACTTCCTAAATTTCTTAATGTTGAGACGAACTTTAGGTGCATGGTGGTGGTGTCTGAGTACGAGACATGCAAGGAAAACTCTTACATTTAGGTAAATAAAATCTCCAATGTTGGAATAAGCCTTTGAGAACTGATTCACTGATAGCCTATTCTTGATTCCTCACTGAGTCAAACTTGCCAACCTAGGGGCATTGCTAAGTTAGAGTTAATAGAGCAGTTATGTTTCAAGAAGAACGCTGTTGAGAACTTGGGATAGGGTACAATTCAACCATGGGTGTAGAGGAGTAGGTAAATCTGGTGGACGAAATATGAGGACAACATTTTGATGAGTTCTATGTTTACTTTTAAAAAAAATGGAAAGGAGACGAGGGAGGTAGATAGTGCATCAGAGTCCAGGAAAATGGATTTCATACGTCAGGTCATTGATTCAAAATGGAGAGGGGCGCTTCTACGAGAGCACAACACCAGACTCTAGTTAATTGTGATCTAGGCCATTGTATGGTTTGGGTTGATATTAAATTGGGATTAGGTGGTGAGAGGCTTTGTTGAATTGATCTGGGAGGTGATAAACATTATGGGACAAGGTTTGAAATTCTATAATGAAGATCCTGCCTGTAAACTATCTTCATCCATTGGGGTTGAAGTTGTGGGAAACCATAGCGAGGGAATAGGATACATATCCCCGATGGCTCAGGTCATCAGTGTGGGGCTGATGACTATCTTTAGGCATGAATGCACTGGTATTTTCAAAGGATGGTACATGAAGGACCCCCAGTGCGATGATACTCACACTTTGTGTATTTCACGAAGTCTGTTAAGTTTTGAATATGGAGTGTTGGTGTTGGTGGATCTAGACATAATATATATTAACGGTCAAGAAATACTTAGGAGATTAAGGCTAGTCAGATTCATGATTTAGGATTACTTACTCTTCAATATGGTAAAATTGAGATGATGTAGTTTATACTGTAAAGTTTATAGAATAAATCATGTTTATTAAAGTTGAGGAATGCATCTGGACACTTGAGTAGCTAAAAAATTTAATGGAAAACTATATGGAAAACTATATGGAAAACTATAATATGCCGATTGTTTACAGGTCAGTGTGTTGGACTGTTGGAAACATAACATACAATGCAGCGGAAAATTGCATATCATGTAGATTAATCAAAATTAATAAAATCTAGAAAAATACCTGAAATGCTTTCTGAATTTCTTTGATAATCCGTCCCAAGATCAAAATAAAATAGCTTCCTCAAGAGAAAAAGCCTCCAACTGAAATCCACCTGTCATCGAAGAGGAGTATTCGGAGCAATACTGAGAGATATCTCAAAATCTATTTCCTTTATTTTTTTTCATTTTTTTTCAAGGCTACATATGAACACTATTATATAGGATTGGACCTGCCTTATAGATTTCAATTTCAAAACAATTCTTAATTGTTTAAAACTCTATCCATAATATTTAAAGATAGAATATTCTTTCCATAACAATTAGGATAGAAATAGAATTGTATTGCATATAAACCTCTTCTAATGACATTAGTGAGACCAATTGGGTCCCATATCGAGAACCAATTATTAATCAAATTAATAATTTTAATTTAACAATCAAATCCCTATCCGACCAACTATTCATAAAAGCTCCTCCATAATATGAGATTAAATATTCGTGAATAATATTATCTTACATTCAATCCCCTCCAGTATCAATTTATTTTAGGAAACTTTATTGAGCAGGACGAATCACCTATTTGCTCATTCCTAAAATTACAATCCCATGAACATAAATAAAAATCATTTTGAAACATTAAATATTTTATTTTATAAGAAAATAATTTTAGAAAAATAATTTCAAAAATCACTCGTCAACGGGAATTTAATATATTCACAGGATATGCATAATAAATTAACTCATAAAAATGAGTATACTGGATCCTATCTAGATATTCATCATTTCCCTAAATAAAATCTAATAACCCAACATTTCAGGTTGTATATCACTTGTAAAACAAGCTTAACCATCATATCAAAGTATATTAGATTATCAAATTGAAAATGATAATATCAGCAAGTCTAAGGGACCATGTAACAATTCGAATTCTTTATCTCTTAGGTGACTCGTCCTAGAGAATCCAAATAAGGTCTTGTACTACGCATCAAATATACGCTTATGACATACACCCGGGGAATCTTCATTCCCGATAGTTGAGATCAACCATCACATCTCATATGTCGTTATCATACATAATAACCTGTTATAACAAAGCTATCATTTACTAGTTATAGGTTAAGCACAAATTTAAGAAATCTCTGAATTAGATCATATCTCCAAGCAAGTGACCATCACAGTGTATGATCTAACAAAATAATCTCTAAGGATAATATAATAATTATATAAAAGATACCCAAATAATATGTGTAATAATAAACTCAATTAAAATTCAATAAAAATGTATTGGATGTATAAGGGCATATAACACTGCTCTAGCAATCTCCCACTTGCCCTCACATCTAGGGGTGTGCAAATGGTCGTTTTGGTTCGATTTTTATCAAATTTTGAACAACCGAACCGAGCCGCCCATTATTCAAAACCAAACCGAACCGTTGCAAATCGGTTCGGTGCGGTTCGGTTCGGTTTGTTAGTTCTAACTTCATCAAACTTTCAGACAACATGAAATCCATCATTGCATTCTTCACGATCAAATTTTAAGATCACTGTTCTTGCAAAAAATAATTGAAGAGAAGGGATTCAACACATTCAATAGCATGCTCTCAAACACGAGCCTATTCGAGATCAAACAGCTCAGATCTTAAGAGGCAACAGTAAAGATCACACAAAAAACCCAAGCTTACAACCAAATCCAGATCGTAGATCTCAAAAGAAGGAAATGGAACTCTAATTTCCTTCTCCTGAGATAAAAAGATATAGAAATTATCCAATATATCTAAGCAATCAAGATCTAAGCCAGATGAAATCCTGATCCTCTATTATAGAACAAAAAAGATCTCGAAATCATCAAAAGGAATCGAGCAATCATCAACGTCTCCAGATCTCAATACGAGCCAGAAAAAAATAAGATTAGGTGATTACCTATTGTAGAAATCGTAGTGACGGATCTCACCGAGATTGAGCTTGTAGAGGATCGTGGTTTTACCAGCGGCATCGAGATCGACCATCAAGATCCTCATCTCCTTTGCAAACAAGCGGTTGGACATCTTCCCAAACGCGAACCCAATCGTTCTCTCTAATCTCAGATCTCGACAGAGAAATTGCAGATCTAAGAACTAGAGAGGGAGGGGAATTGAAGAGATCTGGAGATCTATAGATCTTTAGAGAGAGTAATCTTTACCTTTTGTTTTTTCAACCCGAACCGACCGCTAACCCATACCCTCTTTTTATTACTTGACCCGTGTTGTTCATATAAAATCCCAAATTCTCCCCTCTGTGACTCCGTCTCCCGTTCACTCTCTCTCTCCTCCCTTCATAGCTCCCGCAAATCGAAGCAGAACAAAAGGTAAAGATTACTCTCTCTAAGGATCTGTAGATCTCCAGATCTCTTCAATTCCCCTCCCTCTCTAGTTCTTAGATCTGTAATTTCTCTATCTAGATCTGAGATTAGAGACAACGATTGAGTTGGCGTTTGGGAAGCTATTCAGCTGCTTGTTTGCGAAGGAGATGAGGATCTTGATGGTCGGTCTTGATGCCGCTGGTAAAACCACGATCCTCTATAAGCTCAAGCTCGGCGAGATCGTCACTACGATTCCTACGATAAGTAATCACCTAATCTTCTTTTTTTTTCTGGCTTTTATTGAGATCTGGAGACGTTGATGGTTGCTCGATTCCTTTTGATGATTTCAAGATCTTTTTTGTTCTATAATAGAGGATCAGGGTTTCATCTGGCTTAGATCTTGATTGCTCGGATTTATTGGATAATTTCTATATCTTTTTATCTCAAGAGAAGGAAATTAGAGTTCCATTTCCTTCTTTTGAGATCTATGATCTAGATTTGGTTGTAATCTTGTGTTTTTTGTGCGATCTTTACTGTTGTCTCTTAAGATCTGAGTTGTTTGATCTCGAATAGGCTCGTGTTCGAGAGCATGCTATTGAATGCGTTGAATCCTTTCTCTTTAATTATTTTTTGTAGGAACAATGATCTTAAAATTTGATCGTGAAGAATGCAATGATGGATTTCATGCTGTCTGAAAGTTTGATGAAGTTAGAACTGACAAACCAAACCGAACCGCACCGAACCAATTTGCAGCGGTTCAATTCGGTTTTGAATAATGAGCGGTTCGGTTTGGTTCAAAATTTGATAAAATCCGAACCGACCATTTGCACACCCCTACTTGCTGCTACGTATTTTGCTTCGGTTGTAGAATCAACGATGACATTTTGCTTAACACTTTAACTAAAAACACCATTATTGATGATATAAACATATCCTGATGTAGACTTTCTATCATCTGGATCGGATTGGAAATCAGAATCAGTATATCCTTCAATGCTCATGTCATTTGCCTCATAAACTAAACAATAGTCTTTAGTTTTACACAAATATTTAAATATGGCTTTCACTGCAGTCTAATATTCCTCATCAGGATTGGATTGAAATCTACTTACAAGGCCAACAACATATGCTATGTCAGGTCTTGTACATAACATAGCATACAT